TAAGGAAGAAGCGATAATTAGAATTCTCAGGAGGATATTGTAAGGACACTGTATAGAGAAAGTTCAGAACACCAAATTGGAGTACGCGTCAGTTACGTTCATTTGAGCAGTAAAATAACATAGCATATGGGTCTGAAGTAACCGACAAGAGGAGGACAATGTCGACAAACATGATGAAATTGTGTACCAACATCTAGCAATATACATCGAGGGAGCAGTGCTGATTTTCAGACGCTGAAAGTACCATCTGACGAAACACGGAACAGGAATCAGGAGGGTTTTTGTGGGCCCCATCACAGCATCGGCGGGAACCGTGGAATTTGTTGTCATCAGCAAGAAATGCTTTCGCAAACTATGGGTGGCTGTTTAGTCGAAGGCTGTAAATAACAAACCACAAGTCCTTTTTTCATCGTTTGGTTGAATTCGACACTGAAGAAACTTGTTTACCTGCGGGAATTGCACCAATTGCGCCTAATCGCTCATCATAATTGATCCAATTAACTAGATTTTCGGCTCTCAGGTTTTCAAGTAGAATCATCTTGAGAACTACCCAAGCCTAATGATTGGTTGATTGTGTTGGCATTTGCGTAGATGGGTTTTGCTTCATAGGTAAGTATTTAAAGTGGATTGTTATCTTCTCATTATGCATAAATTACAATGGGCCTCAAAGTGGCTACTGGGTTTCTCGGTTTCGTCCTCATTCAGATTGTGGCTGCTTCATACGACGAGTATGGGTAGGTCTGGTATTGACGTTGATGCCTCGAAGATTTTCTGGAAAAATAACTTTGTTAATTCATTTAACCACTGTTTCCTATTTGACGGTTTGTGAGACAGCGCCCTTGCAGAAACTCAACCAAACCAAGCAAAGTTTAAGTTTACAATAGTACTAGTAAATAGTGTGTCGATGACACCAATAGTGGAATACTGGAATTTCTTAAAGACAAATTTTAAGTTGAACCGTGGTTCCATACGGTAACTGTGTCTTACTGTATCAGGCATTTTAGCGGACACATATGTCGTTATTTTTTTTATTTTAGTGATGAGCAAGTCGACTTTGAATTATCGCCCCCTTTCCTGGGCCCCTGTAAAAGGGTTATGTGAGTTACTCATTTTTTTCCTGCATTATTTGTACCCGCAAATCTTTGCCTTCTATTTCAAGGTTTCACTCTGAAGTAAATTAATGGCTCCCTACATTAGTTCTTCCTAATCGCAATGAAACGTCTTTATTTAACAGAATTTGGAAAAGCAGATTAGCAACTTCAACTTGACATACGAAACTCATCGAATAAGTTTTGCCTGTTTGACCATTCGTTTGGACTCGCGAAATTTTGACTGGGCACGTTTAGCTACCCAAATGCAGATTTTGGTGTGTTGTCGAACTAAAGCAACATGTTATTTGAGGAATTTCGAAGCTAGTTCCAACATGGTCTTTTTCGCATGGTGAATGCATTAAGCTTTGGAGTGGTCGTTTGTACCCATCTGGCAAGAGGGCAATGAAGGGAAGTGTTGATTGTCCAAGGACTAACTCCTGCATGCTTGGTTACATCGTGTGCAATGCTGTACTGAAACCGAACAATTGGTCTGAGAAGTGGTTGTCTAGCCAGTGTATCAGGGATGAAAATGTAAATGGTTGTTGCCATGCGCAGAAGTGTGCGTGGACGGTGGCGTTTCCACTGGAAGATCTTGTAATAATCTAGGTCGGTCTTTGACCGGATGAATCTTACAGTGTGTTGCATTTGTATGAATCTGCTAACCATCAAATCTGCCTGATTAAAACGGTGGTTGAATGAGGTGTGAAATGCCACTTGACTACACACATAATTCATTCCTGTTCATTGTAGCACTGCCATGGATTGTGGAAATTGGACTTGTCGAGCTGAAGCGGAGCCCGGTGACTGTGTAGATCTGTTTAGAGAATTTCAGACACTAGTCCGTGTAAGTTAATTTGACATCCCTTTTACTTGGAGCAAATCGACGTAAACTTGACGTATCAGTTGAACCGAAGTCAGTCTCGATGCACTATCCTATGTTTGAATGTTGCCTGCAAGCTTGGCACTTACCAAAGTACAATATCATTCAATCAGCTGTTTCTTCTATTACTATGTCTTCAGTTATGATTTTAGTGCTTAGCGGAAAATCTCAAACATGGTTGCTTGGATTTAGAACAGATTTTTTACTGAAACATATTTAGTAAACTATTATGCCACCTTTAATAAAAAGAGTTCCCTTTGAACAGTTTCATTTTACCCGCGTAAAATTATTTTTGTTCCCTACACTTCAAAAACATTTACCAGAAGCACTTGTGAATTTTATATACTTTTTCTTAGTTCTTAATATAATATGTCGCTAGCATCTTAATTATGTAGTCTCTTATTCACTTAGCCGTAGCTGTACACAGCTGTGGCTAAGCAAATTATGGCTTTTCATTGGCCAGTTGCTGCGCACAATCGAATGACCAACTTAACATTTTGACAAGATGACTACATCATGATCACGGCGTCAACGTGATTTAACGTGTTGTGGGGACCAGCATGTGGTCTTGAACCACGCCAGGGCATAGTGAATGAGGGGGGAGTTGAGGATCCGTGGGGCTGGCGACATGCTGCGAAAAGAGGGACCCTGTGTCGGGGGCTGGAATGATTGGATTAACGAGTATTAACCAATGCGAGTTAAAACAAAGCTACCGCTGCACACTACGTGGGATGGCGTTCAATGATTAGGCATTTTGGAAGTCCCACAAATTTCAATATCTAGAAATTACAACATTCAAGGGAAGAGCGACCCATTAATACTGAATGCCCTGACTAATTTTACATTTCTCTTTAGAGAACGTACCCAAAAGAAGATCCTAATTGCGATCAAAGAGAGACCATTTGTGTGAGGATTGTGGGTAAGTCATGACTCAAGAATCTCGTTGTCAGATAAAATGCACCTAATTGTAATAAATAACCATAAAATTTGTACTGCCAACTTGACATTAATAAGGAAACAATACGTTGTTTAAATTTAGATTACACTGGTGTCTCAATAAGAGGGACACTTAAAAACCTTCCAGTAATCGTTAAAGCCAGACGATGGTCTCCACTGGGAGTGTTTAAGTGGATCTTCGGTAGCAGTGAAGCAAAAACAACCGAATCCGCTGCAGAAACCACAGAAGAAACTGTTTACCCTGACAAGTACACAACACAATCCCATGAAACATCTCCCGATACCCATGAACATTTCACGACATCAGGAGAAGTTTCTGTCTCCGAGACAACTGTCGACGCTGGTTCTGCAGACGAATCCACGGTCGGACCAGATGAACAACCAGTGAG